TCAGGTCGGGCGTGTCCCCCTACAGGGGGATTTTCGACGAATGATAAAGAACATATTAGAAACAAGATTTTACCGGCTCGCTTCGCTTCGCCTTTAAAATCTTGGTCGCATGGCGCCTGGAAAGCTCGCTGCGACCAACTGTGGGGCTTGTTTGGCCTGCTATGTGTCGTGGGCCTCATGGGGGCTCGTGGGGCTCGCGGGGCTTGAAGGGTCATAGTGGTTGCTCGGTGGCCGCGGCTCACGGACGTCATGGGGCTCATGGAGCGTGAGCTCGTGCGTGGGGCCCGTAGGGCTCGTAGGGCTCATGGGGCTCACAGGGCCCATGAGGTCGGAGGGCTCGCGATCGACTCGTGGGGCGTGGGTAGGGCGCAAGCGTTCGTGGGCACACAGGGCTCACGGTGCGCGTAGTTTGTGTGGTTCAGAGGGGTCATGGGGCTCACTGGTTTCGCTATGCGCGTGGGGCCTACGGGGTTCCAGGGGTCAATGGGCTTGTGGGACTCGCTGGGTTGGTTGGGGAAAAGGGGTCGGACGCCTAAGGGGCGTGTAGGGGTCATGGGCTCCTGGGGCGCATGGGGAGCGTAGGGCTCGTAGGGCTCGTGACCTCGTGGGGCTCTTCGGCCTCGCGGGGCTCGCGCGGTTCGCGCGGCCTTTGAGCTCGGATGACTCGTCGGGCTCGCAGCGCTCACCGGGATGATGGGTTTGTAGGGCGCCCAGGGCTCGTGGGCTCTCTGGGCTCGTAGGCTCTCTGGGCTCGTCGGGCTCGTGGGGCTTGTACGCTCGTAGGGCATGTGGGGCTCGTAGGGCTCGCAGGGCTCGTAGGCCCGTAGGGCTCGTGAGTTCGTGGGCCTGTAGAGCTCGTAGAGCCCGTAGGTCCGTAGGGCTCGTAGGGCCCGTAGGCCCGTAAGGCTCGTCGGCTTGTAGGCTTGTAGGGCTCGTGAGCTCGTATGCCCGTGAGGCTCGTAGGGCTCGTATGCTCGCAGGGCTCGTGGGACTTGTGGGCCCGTGGGTCTCGTGGGGCTTGCAGGGCCGGTAGGTCCGTAGGGCTCGTAGGCCCGTGGAACTCGTAGGGCTCGTAGGACTCACGGGGCCAACACGCTCGTAGGGGTGGTAGGGGTCGTAGGGCTCATGGGGCTCGTAGGGCTGAAAGGGTTCATGCGGCACCATGGGGCACCGTAGGGCGCGTCGGGCTCACAGGGCTCGTAGGGCTCATGGGGCTCACAGGGCTTGCGGGGCTCATGGGGCTCAGAGGGCTCGTGGGACTGGAGGGCCCGTAGGGCTCATAGGGCGCGTAGGGCTCGTGGAAATCGTAGGGCTTGTCGGGTTCATACGGCGCCCGGGGCTCGCGGGTTTCATAGGGCTCGTAGGGCTCGTGGGGCTCATGGGGCTCGCAAGCGTCTTAGGGCTCGTAGGGCTCGTAGGGCTGGTTGGAGTCAGTGGTGTCGTAGGGCTCGTGGGGCTGACAGGGTTCGTGGGGCTTGTAGGTGTTTGGGTTCTCAGGGCTGAGAGGGCTCATATGGTTGGTAGGGGCTGTAGGGGTAATTGGGGTCGTAGGGCTCGTAGGGCGTACAGGGCAATGGAGGGCTCATGGAGCTCGGAGGGGATATAGGGCACCGCGGGGCTCGTAGATCTCATAGGGCGGATGGGGGTCGCAGGGGCATGAGGCGCCACAGGGGTCGCAGGGCTGATGTGGTCGACAGGGCTCATATGGCTGGTAGGGGTCATAGGGTAATTAAGGTCGTAGGGCTGGTAGGGTTCACGAGGCTTGTAGGCATTAGGGCTCGCAGGACTCATAGGGCTCGCAGAACACGTAGGGCACTGCAGGCCTCGTAGGGCTCGTTGGGGAAAGAGAGGTCGCAGGGGTCCCGGGGGTCATAGGGATGTTGGGGCTCATATGGGGTCTTGAGTGTCATAGGGCTCGTAAGGCTCATAAGGCTGAAGGGGTTGATAGTCCCGTAGGTCTCATGGGGGACGACAACGGCGGCGACGAAGACGACGACGGCGACAATGAAGACGAGGACTAGGGGCCGTAGAGCTAGCTCATTGAGCTCATATGGCTCTTGGGGCTTATATGGCTCATAAAGTCTTCAAGCTGGAAGGGCTCTGAGGGGGCAGAGGGCAGGAGCCTATGTACGGGGCAGCGTGCGATCGGAGAAAGTGTCGGCTCCTGGACCGAAGCCAAAACATCGGCGACGTAGATGTCCCCCTGGGTGGCGGCGTGGGAAGAAAAAATCATGTGGAGCATGGTAGCGGAAAGCAATGAATATGGCATGTCGGGACCTTCGTGGGGCTCCTTATGGGGCTCTTTTGGGCTGTCTGGCGGCTCTCCGGGGTTGTCCCGAGGTCCCCCGGGATGGCGGCGTTGGAGACAGAAACAGTGCGGAGCATGGTAGCGGAAATCAAATACTATGGCATGTTGGGGCCTTCGTGGGGCTCCTTTTGGGACTCTGTTGGGCTGTCTGGCGGCTCTCCGGGGTTGTCCCGGGATTCTCTTGGGCCGTCCTGGGGAGATTGGGCCATTTTGGGACATTCTTGGGTGCCTCTTGGGGCCTTCTTGGGGCTCTCTTGGACGCCTTTTGGGGCTTTTGGGGCTGTCTTGGAGCTCTCTTGGGCCGTCTTGGAGCCCTTTTAGGCTGTCTTGGGGTCCTCTTGGGGGTATCTTGGGTCGTCCTGGGGCGATCTTGGGGGCCTCTTGGGCCGTCTTGGACGCAGTGAAGGCCACAGAAGAGAATATGGTAAAATTGTAAGCTTCCCGAAGGGAATGGGACGATTTTTGCGTTGTGGGGGTCTCCTTGGGGGCGTCTTGGGGCGTTTTGAAAGCGTCTTGGGCCGTCTTGAAGCCAACCTGAAATCTTGTTGAGCGCTCATGGGCCGTTCTGGAGCGGTCGTGGGACGTCCTCGGGATTTGCGGGACCGTCCGGGGATAGCCAGGAGAGGCTTCCGAAGCCGAAATTCGATTTTCACGTCGGTGGGAGCGCCCAGGGCCGAATTTATGTACGGGGGGGGGGGGTCCGGGGGGGCTTTCCGCTATAAGAATATTCGAAGAGGAAAATACCCCCAAAAATGCAAAAAAAAAAAAAAAAAAAAAAAAAAAACTCCAAAAATAGTCCCCAGACTGATCTTGGAGCATTTATTATTATCATTATTATTATTATCATCATCATTATTATTATTGTTATTATTATTATCATTATTATTACTATCATTATTATTATTCGGGTTTTTTATTTGTCGTAGAAAATCCCCCTGTAGGGGGACACGCCCGACTTAACCACAGCTGCGACAGCGGGCCGGCCAGCGGCCGGCGACGCACCGGGCAGCGGCGGCTGCCAGCGAAGCGCAGGGCCGCAGCGGCGGCGGCGGGGCAGCAGGGCGGCAGGGCGCGCGGCTGGGCACGAGGAGCGGCCACCGCGCTCGCCGCCGCCAGCGGGTCGGCCGCAGGGGCGGACGCCTCTCGCGAGCGCGGGGGGACGACGCCGACGACGACGACGACGACGAGGGCGGCGACGACGACGACGACGACGACGACGACGACGACCTTCTCCTCCTGCTGCTCATGCTCCTGCTCCTCCTCCTCATCATGCTCCTCCTCCTCCTCCTCCTTCTCCTCCTCCTCCTCTAGTCCTTCTCCTTATCCATAACTCATCCGTGCCGCACCCCGAAGCCGGTCGAAAGGGCGGGCTGGGCGTTTCGCCTTGTCACCACTGAAGGCTTCGTTGGAAAATCTGGAAGCGCGAGTGGCAGCTATCGAAGTTGGTCCCTCGCGACCAGCATCTACCTGGACGGCATCAGATACCTCGTTGAGCCCTGAGGTTGAAGCACGCCTCGGAGCTTTGGAGCGCCAATTTGCCGACCTACGCCACGCCCCATAGCAGGCAACTGAGACGATTGTTTTCGAGAACTTGGAGGAATTGGGGTCGCTAGAAGAGGCAGTCGCATTTCTCAAACAAGAGATGGCAAAGTCAAACATGCCAGCGCCGAGTGACATCTACATGAAAGGTGACATCTACAACGGCATTGTTTTTGCAAAGATGAGTGGCGGCACAGATGCAGAGACAACGCTGCGCATGTTACGAGTTTCACCGGTTTCTTACAAGAACAAAAGAACTTGGGCACATAAGGATAGGCCAACCTCTATTAGGATCCCGATCCGTGCTATTCGGCCTGAAGCGGCTTCTGGTGCAGTGGGGCTTCAAGAAACACAGCGTTCAGATAGACGACGGGAAGCTCACCATGCACGCCAGGGGCGAGCACATCCGATCCTATCAGTCTGCTCCGTGGGAGGTGCGCTCAAGCTCACGTGGCCCAGCGCAGAATGGGAGAATTGGGCTGACCTCCAAAACGATGCGGCTTCATCGAGCTCCGCACTTCCTGCAAGGAAGCCCTGGCCCGTGCCACTGACATGGGAGAAAGGAAAGGGAAGAAAGGGAAGAATTGACGGGGCCCGGAGGGCGAGGACACTGTTTCACCCAATCTTTTTTCAGCGCCGTTGGGATGCCCGCGCCCACGTCCAGCCTTGAGTGCACAAAGCGGGCACGTCACAATCGCCACGTGGAACGTCACCGGTTTAACCGACGAGAAGCTTTACACAATTTGCGAAGCAATGCGTTTTTTGAAGATTGATTTTCTCTGCCTCCAGGAGACATGGGCTTCGAAAGCAGAGTACTACACAAACGACGGGTATCGTATTATTTTGTCAGGTTCGGAAAATGCAGACAGCGTAGACAGACCTAGATCAGGAGTGGGACTTATCATTGCGCCCCACATGGCAACGTGCATATGTGGCTTCTTGCAATATTCAGACCCGCTCGCTTGCTTGAAGATCCGGGGAAGCGGGGGGAAGCATGCCCTGATCACCGGCTACGCCCCGCACAACCTCCGACCACTACCTGAACGATTACACTTGTATTTGGAATTGGAAAAGCTGCTCAATACCATATCGGTAAATGTATTCAAATATATCGCTGGAGTCTTCAACGCCCGGCTTGGCCAACAACGGCGAGGCGGAGAACATGCACTTGGGCCGTACACTTTTGGAGAAGAAGCGAAACACAAAAGAGGCACCCAACCGGGATCTATTGATGGAGTTCTGCACGGTGCAGCAGTACAGCATCAACAACACTTTTCGGAATGTGCACGACGGAAAACAGATTACGTACATGGAGAGCGGCACAAAACCCAACGACGCCATCCTGCCGGACAGATTTGCTCTGCTCGATTTGTTTCTCGTGTCGGGCGTAAGTTTTAACCGAGTGGTGTCCGTTGAAAGCCACCGAGGAGTAGCATTGGACACGCGGCACTTCCTAGTATGTTGTCAGATCGACCTCGAAATTCAGCATTCTCAACCACGTCGACACCACAGTCGAAAACAGAGAGGGAGTTTGCAAAAAAACTGGTATACGACAGCAATTTGTTACGGCGTGTTTGGAGAACTGCTCGGAGGACGTGGGCGCCGCTGACGTGGTCGAAGGCGCCTGGCAAAACATCTCGGCCGTGATCGGGGCTGCATCCGAGGTCTTGCCTGACGAGCCGCCCCAACCCAGATGACCGTGGATCAGTGGCTGGACAGTGCAGCTCATCCAAGAAAGAGCGCAGGCTCGAGTGGACGGGAACGCCGTTCTGGAGAAAGAGAAGCACAGAGCTGTACGAAAATCTGCACTAGAAGATAAATCCAAATGGCTGGAAGAGTTGGTGGCGACTGGTTCCTGGAACGATATCTGGTAGTTCCGAAACCCCCGTCCCGCCAAGCAGGGGCGGCTCTGGAACTTGCAAGGAGAATTAGTCAGCAGCGAAAACCGAGCAGATACCATGGCAACATACCTCGAGACGGTGCAATGGGGCGTGCGTCCAGCCGACGCTGTCGACGCACCCACCCTTGGACCTGCGTGGCTGGTCAACTTGGCCAATTTCACGGATGACGAGGTCAGAACATGTTTGCGCAAGCTGCGCGATAGCAAAGCACCCGGGCCAGACGGCATCCCACCAGAATATTGGAAGGCACTTGCAGACGACTCCAAGGCATTACAACGCATCACGACTTTCGTGAATCATTGTTGGCAAGGGCGAAGGGTTCCGCAAGGATGGCACAAATCAAGGGTAACAGCAATACACAAGAAAAGAAAAACAGATGATTGCGCGATCTATCGACCAATCAGTCTTCTCGCGATTGGGTACAAAGTACTCGCGTCTTTGTTGCACCGACGTTTGGTGGAGACAGGAGCTGAATCTAGGCTGACGGGATCGCAATTTGGTTTTCGATCGAAGCATGGGACGCAAGAGGCGGTTTTTGCGCTCCGTCGGCGTATAGATTTGGAGCTTGGTACATCATCAGGTAATATGTATGCATTGGCCTTGGATTGGCAAAAAAACTTTCGGCTCCATCAACCCTTCGGCCATGCTACGCGGTTTGCGACATTTCCGCTTGCCCGAGCACATCTTGGAGGTCATAAGTGCGGTTTACAGCGACAGCATCTTCGAGGTGCGGGACTGCGGGGCGACTTCTTCCTCGAGGCCGCAGTCCTCCGGGATATCGCAAGGATGCCCTCTATCACCCTTCTTGTTCGTGATGGCCATGACAGCAATCATCGAAGACGCTGTCTCCCAACTTGCGGCAGAACACAGAACACTCTGGGACACTGGATCCCTTTCCGTCTTGCTGTACGCGGACGACACGCTGATTCTGGGAAGGACGAAGCGGGCAGTGGAAGACATATTAGCTGCGATTCTGAGTTCTGGGGAATCCTGTGACATGGAGCTGCACCCGGACAAGTTCCAACTGCTTTAAATAAGATGCGCAAGAAGTATTCAGGATTCGATTGGACACATCATACGGGCTCAAGAAGACATGATTTATTGAACAGGCGCCGCGGACAAGAAGCTCGTCGCCGCCTGGGCGCGGCGCGCGCCGACTTTGACAAGCTGTCCAAGATATGGCGACATTCAGGCTTGAGCAGGCGCAGAAAAATTGAGGTCTACAGCGCCGTCATTCTTAGCAAGCTCACGTGTGTTTTATCGACTTTGTGGCTGAATGCTGCGGAGAGAAGGCGGCTGGATGGCTTCCATTGCCGGTGTCTTCGCGTAATATGGAGAATCGAACCAGCATACATCTCCAGGGTGAGCAACGTGATAGTCTTAGACAAAACGGGACAACACCCTCTGACGGACACAGTGGCACGACAGCAGCTTCTCCTGCTTGGCAACATCGCCAGGACACCAGAAGGGAGCCTCCTCAGGAACGCCACCTTCTGTCCTGGAAGGTTCAGGCCGGCAGCAGACCGATACGTGGCGCCGCGCACATTCGTCTGAAAAGTTGCAACAGCTTCACGGATGGAGAGCAGGTCGTTTTCAAACGCCGCGCACATCCTTCTTGAGAAGTTGCACGATTCACAAATGGCAGGAGGGTGGTTTTTCAAATGTGGTTCTCGCCTTATCGCCGCGCACAGCGCACATTCGACTAAACAATGTAACAGCATCACGGATGAAGCGCAGGTCAGTTTCAAAATATGGCGCTCGCCTCAGCGCCGCACACCTTCGTTGTAACAAACTGGAAGAGCTTCACGGATGGAGGGCGGTCACTTTTCAAAATGTGGCTCTCGCAAGAGCGCCGCGCACATTCGTTGTAAGAGTTTGTTTCAGTTTCACGGATGCTCACTGTTAACGTCCCAGAACTAATGTTTTGGCACGGTGTCGGGCTGTCGGAGCGCAACAGTTACTGTGATTCGTGGTGTTGACGTCCCAGGAATGCTGTTCTGGCACGATTCAGGATCGTCGAGACGCAGCGGTACTGGTGATTCGCGGCGCTGAGGTTCCAACAATGGTGTTCTGGTGCAGTTCAGGATTTTCCAACGGTTGTCTTCAAACGGGGCACTTCCTTCAATGAAAATGAATCCTTCTAGGGGCCTACGAAGAGGGAACTAGGAGGGTGTATTGTATTATCGTTGGTGCGTCTTGGTTTTACACTGGTACTCCTCCTCCTCCTCCTCCTCCTCCTTCTCCTCCTCCTCCTCCTTGCCGCACGTCGTGGACGACAACGAAGACGACGACGACGACAACCGCAACGACGACGGCGACGGGTGCGCAAATAAGGCATCTGTTAGAGTCCTTCCCGATGGAATTAGAGCAGACGGGGTCAGAGGATCGCGCCGCATCAACGATGCATCATCGGTGCATCAGCCGACGTCGGCGTGGAGAAGATCGGGCTCCACATCGAGCCGCATCGGCGATGCGGCGCGATCCTTCGACCCCATCTGCTCTGATCTCATCTGGGCGGCCTCGACCTGTATCAGTAGACATGTACGATAAGAAATCTTGCCTCCTCCTCCTCCTCCTCATCATCATCATCATCCTCATCCTCCTCCTCTTCCTCCTCCTCCTCCTCCTCCTTCTCCTCCTCCTCCTCCTCCTCTTCCCTCCCCCTCCCCCTCCTCCTCCTCCTCCTCCTCCTCCTCCTCCTCCTTCCAGCCCTCTACAAAGGGGCACGTCCTTCGTCGAAGCTAGTTAGGGTGGCCTCTGTGGGCCCCTTGGGGCCCCCGCGGCACAGAACACGTCCGCGGGGCACCTGCTGGCAGGCCGACCTCCTGTGCGACGTGCCTCATGTCCACCACCACCGCGCTTGGCCAGGGGGCGTCTGCGCCTCCTGGCCAATAACAGGGGATGCGTCGACCCCTATCCCAGGCTCCGTGAGGTTTTCGAGAGGATCAACAATTTGGGGCCCAACCCTGGGATATACGAGGGGGGGGCGTCCATCCTCGACAGTGCGTCCGAATAGCCCCCTCGGGATGTATCCCAAGATTCCTCCCCTTTTCTGAGCGACCAAACTTTTCTGGCGGAAGTCGGGGATTGGGGGAGAGAAATCGCCTGCGAGCCAAGGCCAGAGGGGCCCGTGCACCGTCGTGGGGCCCAGGATGGCTCTCGCCAGGCACGATGGTGGCGTACCAGATGCCCGCTGCAGAAAGAGGTGGGGGGAGAGACCGGCGGTGAGCCCAGGGGGGAAGTGAGAATTCTCAAAGGCTCGGAAGCCCCCAGGCCTCCTGAGAAGCCTTCTGAGCCTTCACCGAAGACTCAGAAGACTTCTGAGAAGGCGCGGGGGCTTCTGAGAAGTCCCGCCGCCTTCTGAGAAGGCCTTCTCCTTCTCTGAGGGGCAACGATAGGGGGGGACTGGCATAGGGGGGCGACACATCGACCTGGGATCGGCAATGCATCGCCGATAGATCGGCGACAGGTCGGGGGATCGTGAAATCTGCACATTCCTGGGCAGGCTAGGGCCATCGGGCCCCTATCGGCGATCCATGGGCGATTGGGGGTCGATGCGTCCCCCTCTATGCCTACTTCCCCCCTGTCGTTGCCCCCGATTCTCGTTTCCCCCCCCTCGCCCGCCGCCGAGGTGTGGGGCGTCGGGGATCTACTGACCCGGGCCAATCCAAACCCGGGCTAGTCAGGCCCTGCAGGATCCTGCAGGATCCTGCAGGATCCTGCACCCAAGCCCGGTCCAACGCACCACTGGCCCTGCAGGGTCCTGCCAACTCCCGCGCTCGGACTGACCCCCGCCTGCCTTGACCCCCGTCTGCCTTGAGCCCCGCACGGGGGTGGGGGCGAGCCACCGGCGCCGCTGCCAGCGAGGGCGGGCCCCGAGGCTCCGCGGGGCCCGCCCCGCGGTGCGGCGCCCGACCTCGGGACCAGAGGCCACCCCCCGTCCGCGAAGTTGGGGCGAAGCTCTCTCTCTCTCTCTCTCTCTCTCTCTCTCGGAGGAGGAGGAGGAGGAGGAGGAGGAGGAGGATGGAGGACGGAGGACGGAGGAGGAGGAGGAGGAGGAGGGAGAGGGGGAGGAGGAGGAGGGATGAGGGAGGAGGGGGAGGGAGGAGGAGGGAGGAGGCGGAGGGAGACAGAGGAGGAGCCACCTCCCAAGAAGAGCCAAGGCCACGGGGCCCGCCCTCGCCTCCTCCCCGACCCTCGGGGAGGCATCCCGCCGCGGGGGGTACTCTGAGGCCGAGTTCGGCGGCGGGCGAGGGGGGGGAAAGCGGCGAGGAGCAGGCCTTCTCGGAAGGCGGCGTGACCTCTCAGAGGCCCTCGCGCCTTCTCGGAAGCTCGTTTTGTGTCCTCGGGGAAGAGGCTCCGAGAACGTCTCGGAAGGCTGAGGCGCATTGCCCCCTCGACGCGACGGGTGGGGAAGGGGGGGGGGCGGGGGGGACGAGGGGATGGAACATGGGGGAAGGGAGGGGAAGGGGGAGGAGGATGGGGGGGGGGACGAGGGGAGGGGGGAGGGGCAAGCTAGGTGCGCTCGCGTCATATCTGACATCCTACCCCTCCCTCCCATCCCTTACCATGGCGTAGATCCTCTCTCTACTCGCACAGTCGGATGTTGAGCAGGGCAATGATCCCGAAAGGGTACGCGATGTATTGTAGAGCACGGCATGGCATGGCGTGGAAGAGCACCGCAAAGCGTAGTATGTCACAGCATGGCGTGGCGTGGCGTAGTGAAGAATTGCATCACAAAGCTTTGCAACGCAAAGCATGGCATCGCACAGCGGCCCCGAACATAACATTGCATAGCATGGCGTTGAAGATCAAAGCGTAGCATGGCATAGCATGACGTGGCACTTACGCACTAGATATGACAGCTGCAGCTGAAGGCATGGCATCGCGCAGCGGAACGCAACCTAGCATTGCATTGCATGCCGTGGCATGGCACGGGAAATGACGCCAGCGCTGCAGCGGGAGCACGATTCGGAACGAGCGGAAGCGCGGAAATGAGGCCAGCGCTGCAGCGGGAGCACGATTCGGAACGAGCGGAAGCACGGAAATGAGGCCAGCGCTGCAGCGGGAGCACGATTCGGAACGAGCGGAAGCCCGAAAATGAAGCCCGCGCCTCAGCGAGAGCATCATTTCGGACAAAAAAAACCCAAGCGAAAACCCAACTCCGGGAAATCCTGTGTAAAAAACAATACGCGGAGGGGTGCCCGCTATCTTCCGCACGCCATCAGGGGATGGAGGAGAGGAGTACTCATACTGTGTCATTGTAGAGGGGGAAGGGGGAGGAGGAGGGGGCGGGGGAGGGAACGAGGGGAGGGGGAGAGGGGGAGAGAGGGGTGGAGGGGGGGAACGTGGGGATGGACCGGGATGGACGAGGGGGGAGGAGCACGGGGAGGTGGCCGGGGGGCGCCCAGCGCCGGCCCCGGAGACTCGCGCGGACCTCCGGGGTGCTGCGCCCGTGTGCCGCCTCTCGGTCCTCGGGGGTACCGCCCCGCCTCGACGGAAGGGGCCCCATGGACACACAAAGAAATGCACACAACTAAAAAGATCCCTCTTTATCTTCCTATTTTTGTATGGGTCTTCGTCTTCCCCCCCCCCACTTCCCATAGTTTCCCATGCTTGCTGGGGAATCGACGATGGATTGTGTCTGTGTGTTGTTTCCCCTCCTGATCGACGCTGCGGCGAGGCCCTCCTGCCCCACGCCGCCGGGGGCCCCGACCGACGCGTGCGCTCGCTCCAAACCGGCCGGCCCCCGGGGCCCGCCCCGAGGACGAGAGGCCTCCCGAGGGTTCTCTGGAGGTCTCGAGGCCCCCAACGAAGCGCCCACGAAGGACTCCCGAAGATCCTCTGTGGGTCTCGAGACCCCCCCCCAGGAAGCCCCCTGGGGGCTCCAGGGACAGCCCGAGCACCCAGAAGCGTCAGCCCCCGAGTCTCCTCGGAAGGCGGAGCTCGGAAGGCGGAGCCAGGAATGGAGCCAGCATCGGACAGGGACGGATCGGGAGTCCCATGGGATCCCCGAGATCCGGCGGCCCGGGAGGCGGCAGCGGGCGCCGCGGCCGCTGCGCACAGCGCTCCGCGCTCCGCCACGCTCCCCATTGCGCAGCAGCACGCTCTGGCGCCACTTGCCCACCGCTGGAGCGGCCTGGAGCGCGTGCGAGATGCTCCGATACCGCACCCGCGGCCTCGCGGGCCGGGCCCACCCCCGGGCCGCGACGCGCGGCTGCGGGGCGGGCTGATCCGCGGATGCCCCGCGCTGGACGCACGCGTGCGACCGCGTGTGCGCAGCATCGCGCCCCGGAATCCCAGGCCCCGAGGGCGCGGCGATGCCGGGGAACGTGCGCCGCTCGTGACGACCTCGGGGGCCCGCGGGAGCGGCCCGGAGTGCAAGGCTCCCCCGAGCTGCGGGCGCGCGCAGGGCCCCTGCCGGCCCCCCTATCGGGGCCGACGGGCTGACCCAGGCTGCCGCGGACCTGCGCCAGCCAGGGACTCTGGCGTTGCGGCCAGCTGTGGAGCAATCCACGGGGAGGCTCCTGGCTTGGCAGTTGTTCCGCAACGGGCGAGTTTGCCCTGCTTCGGGCCCCGGGGCCCTCACAGATAGACCCAGCTCGAACAGGGCAGCAGAAAGATGAGGTCTAGGGCTCCAGTCGTGATTCTTCCGATGCTGTGATTTTCTCGCAACGTCGGATCTGTGGGCAGGTGCACCTTTCATGCTACCTCTGAGCTCTAAGGGGCCCTTTTAGGGCAGCCCCCGATGCCCCCCCATCTATCGCCCACCATCACGAAACGCCCGAGAGCCAGGTCGGGAACCCAGTCTAGCCACGAGGCAGCTCCAAGACAGATTTCAGCGGAAGGAAGAGAAGGGGCCGGTATGAGAGGCTTCCTGGCCGGGGTCCGGATATATGGGGTCGGAGGACATCGCCGCATCGCCGATACTGTGGTGATGCACCGGCGATGCGTCGGCGAAAGTGTCTATGGACGTCACGGCACCCAATATGTCCAGAGACGCTTTTGGCTAGGACGTGAGAACGGCATTTGACATCGGCCCCAGATGTTGGTCTTCTAGAAGCAGGTAGGCTTGGACCTCCGAAGCCTGTCGTACCCAAACATCTGGCGCTCTAATTTTTCCGATGCGTGAACCCCCAGAGGTGTGGACCACTTCCTTAAGGCCAGTGTTTCATCCTAAGCTGTTTTCCCTGGCCCCGGGTCCCGGGGCCCGTTGAGGGCCCCCGGAGTCCGAAAGTAGCCAAAGACCAGCCGCTCCAATGTGTTCGGAGCATCTGCGCCCCGACGACACCCTCGCGCCCTCGCGGAGCAAGGCCGCTCACGTCGACGACACATCGACCGAAAAAGCGACCGAGCCGCCGGCGAAGCCGAGGCCGACAGGCCGCAGGCAGCCCAGCAAGCCGCTCGGCCACGAGCGGCGAGCGGATCCGTATCCGCGCCCTCGCGGCCTGGATTCCGGGGCGCGACCCCGCGGATACGTACGCGGTCGCACGGGTACGCTCCGCGCGGGGCATCCGCGGAAAAGCGCCTCGTCTCCGCGGGTCGCGGCCAGGGGGGGGCCAGCCCGCGAGGCCGCGGATGCGGATGTGTCTTCCGCCCACGCACGAGGGCGCAGCGGCGCAGCAACGTAAGACGAAACCCAGACCGAAGAAACATCGGAGGCCAGGACACATTGGGGATCATCCGGCGGATCTCGAGAACGCATCGGGCGCCGTGGCCGTTCCAGAGCGCGGCGGAGCGCTCGGAGAGCGCTCTGGAACGCGTCCTCCTGGTCCTGGCCTGGCCCGGCAGCAGCGGCACGGCCGGCCGACCGAGCCGAGCGCCCCGACCAGGCGCAGCCCAGACGGCGGCGCGGCCCACCAGCGCCGAAGGGCTCAGCTCTGCGCGCAAGAGCGGCGGACCCCAGGCAGGGGTGACCCTGGGGTGCGCGGCTGGAAGGGGGCCGCGCTGGGGGCCCAACTCCCAGCGCGCCTGCCGGCGCGGGGTGGACCCATGCGGGCTCGCACTGAAGCCAGGGGCCTTCTCGATGGGGCTCGAACGAGCAGAGGTGGTGCCGAAGCATCGCGCCGCATGGCCGATGCGTCGGCGACGCATTGGCGGTGCATCCGTGCAGCTGGCGTGGAGAACAGCGGGCCCCACATCGGGCCGCCCCGCCAATGCATCGGCGATGCGGCGAAATCCGCCGACCCCACCTGCTCGGACCTCGTCGGGGAGGCCCAGAACAGGCCACTGCGGCGAAAGCAAGCAGCCTCAAACTCACCCTTACCACGAGCGAGAGATCGACGAGCGCAGAGCGACGACAATCCCAGGGAATGGGCCTTCGGAAACTGACGGGATCCTCAAGATCGGCAGCGGGACCAGGAAACGTCGATCATAGGGACAGAGATATGCTTGAGGCTGACAAGAAAAGGCCACTCTGACACGCAGCCGAACCGCAGCCGCGGGTGCCCCCCCGCGGAGATGGGGCCCGGAGCGCCTTCCGCTGCGCCATGGGCCCGCGGGCAGCCCCAGGGGGGCAGCACCTGGAGGGCCTTGCGCCGAGGAGAAGGAGCGTCGACAAGAGCACAAGCTCTCGGAGGTCCGCGCGGGCCTCTCGGATCGGCGCAGGACGCCCCCCCCTCCCCAGACCTCCGAGGATACGACCAGGTCGATCCCGGCGCTTTTCCCCGACGCCGGCCTCGGGTCCGCTGACTGGCCCCGGGGCCACCAGATAGGGGGGCCCATGCGAACCCTATCCCTACCCCCCCACGATTTCTGAGGGGAAGGGTGGGGTTCACTTTGCTCGGGAGTTCCCGAACGAAGTGAACTCCACCCTCCACCTCAGAAATCGTGGGGGGGAGGGGCAGGGTTCGCGTGTGGCCCACTACCAGAAGAGTCTGGGACGCAAGACTGCCCGTGGGGAAGGGGCCGCGAGCTCTGTGGCCGCGGA